ATAAACCTTCAGGGATAGGTGACAGGTGGCACATGAGGCCTAGGTCTCAAATGGGTGTTGAGAAAGAGCATGTGATACCATCTTAGTATACCAATTAGGTAACTGGAAGAGTCATTTGGGACAAAGGACCCAAAACAACTTGAGGGAGCCAGAGATACTTGGGAATCAAAGAGTTTTTTTGTCTCTAGTATTGAACGGTAGTTGATAAAGTCACCTTTTACATGGCAATTGTGGAATATGCAAAACCCTTGCCAAAGAAATAAGTCAAAAACGAGCTGTGATTGGTACTTCTGATTGAAGTTGGTTAAACCTCCTCTCAATACACCATTGCCTGATATGTGTGCCATTTCCATTGCTAAATGTCCATCATGGGATTAAGAAAAGACTGAAACAGATGCATGGCAACTCTAGAAATTAAATCCCAATGCCGTGCAAAGGACTGCATAACCTTCATGTCTGGATAACTGGGTATACAATGTCAGGTACGGCTGCTTCCACAGATATGGCTGAAGTAGAATAGGTGGGCACTCCAGAAGGTACCACAGAAGCAGAAATCAGGGTTTAGCTGCCAATCCAGTGTTATCAACAGCATCCAACAATGTGTTGGAATGAATCATGGTACCTTGGGTAGCATACAAATTGGAGGGGAGGGCTAGAGTTGTAATTCTGTCCCATCTTTGATGGAATGCAACCATTGCCAAAGCCAGAGGGTGAGGTACCAGAGACTAAATTGCCAGGAGTTGGGTGTTAAAATGTGTGGCCAACCCACCAATCATCAGTGTTTCAAAATGAGAGATAATCCAACAGAAAACCTTGCGATGCAGCATCTATTCTGTTTAGATCGAGACAATAGATCTTCCACCAAAGTCATCACCCCTGGAACATAGTAGGATATGATATGATAGGAGTGGTCCTGAGGAAGGAGATACAAGGTTCGAAAATAAAGAGCCAATATGGAATTGTCTGAGTGAAGCCTGTCGATTTTCCCTTTACTAACTCTTTCAACCCACCTCGTAATCATTTTGTTCTTGTTATAGCTTTCATGCTACATTAAGTTTTAAGGTTTGTAAATCAATGTTTCTCTCATGCCTTTTTTTTCTTTTTACATCTTGACTATCTATCATGCAAAGTAATTTTCATAATAATATTAAAAATACTTTTATGAATCAAAAAATTTCGAAATTTCACATACAAAATCTTTATGTTGTCCAAATAGTTGTCAAACATTTCTTAACAAAAAGTTTATATTTTATCTGTTATTTTCAGTAATTAATCTCTGTATGGGTTCAGTAAATGTGACCG